AGCAGTGGAAACGCGCGAGCCCCTTCGCTTATGGGGAACGAAGGGAGCGAATAGGAACGCGAGCGAATGAAGGGGGTAGAAAAGATACGACTATGTATCTTGGTTCAGTCGGATAGACAGAGGACGAGGAACCGAGTGGCGGGGATGAGTACGGGCACGGGTGCAGAGGCAGGAGCGTCGAACGGGCGAGAAGAGGGGTATCGGTACGCGGATGGTTGAGGGCTGGGGTGTGGAGAGAAAGAAAAGTTTGGAACCGGTGGAGGAAGAAGATGGATAGACGCGTAGTCGATTCGGAGATGGAAAGGGAGTAGATGGAGGAAGTGGCGGTGCAGGAGAAGTAGGAAGAGGATGAGGTGAAGGTGCGCGGGAGTAGGAGTAGTTGAAATAGGACGGGTACGCGTACACACGGGCGGGCGACGGAACGCTGCGAGACGAAGCGCGGTGAAAAGGGGAGCGTGCGAGGGAGGAAGGGAGCGAAACGATAGAGTAAGAGAAACATCGCGAGGTAAGGGGTAACGCGCGCGATGGGCATACCGAGGGAAGAGAGGCAGAGGTGTACTCGATCAATAGGCAAGTACGTTCCTTCAAAGGAAAATTCCTGACGCTATTAAATCCAATTTAAAAACTTTTATTCCCCGTGGCCCGACTCGCTGCGCACGGCAAATGTATTTTCCTTCTTTCCCCACTCCTCGAAAAGGAATAAATTGCTAAAAGGATTTCGAACGATACGATGCTGCTCTTCCTCCTCCTCCACGTTCTTTAGCTCCGTCTGTCTCATCTCTGTCCGATCAGGCAACGATGCGACGTCCGAACGGCCGAAAGACCACGGCAACGCGATCGAGCGATTCCTCCCCCCGATGGCCCGATCGCCGTAAGCCGGATGTTCCACCGCGGCCCTCTCAACCACTTTTCCTTCAGAATCGCCAGCTTCCTTTTATTCGCAGACCTTCCACACGCCCAGCTTTGGCGACGAGGATTTCGATATTCCGTCGATTCATGCCCTCTCACATCAACATCAGCACCAGCAACAACAGCAGCCACAGCAGCAGCAGCAACAACAACAGCAGCAACCGCAACACGATCCAATGCACGGCTATCAGTCTCAGGTGAGTGTTTGGGGCGAACGAACACGTTGGATTTCTTCCATCTCGACTATCATTGCGAATCGCGTTTGCAGATGATGCAGACCGGTAGTGTTCAACAATCTCCGGACGGGTTGAATCTCGATCCGGGAGGATATCAACAGTCCCTTTATCTACAACAGGAACACTCGCTGCAGCCGATCAGCGTCAGGTGAGTAGTCGTTGAAGGGAGCTCTGTCGGCGGTTGCGGCGATCTAGACGGTAATCCTTTTTCAATAACTGTTCGTAGTTCCTCGTATACTGGCTCGCAAGCTTCGTACGCGAATATGAGCTCCCCGCGACAACAGCACGGAAGTCAGCAGATGATGTTGCTTCAGCAGCAGCAGCAGGCGCAAATGCAGCAACACATGCAATACATGCACACTCAGCAGCAACAGCAGCAGCAGCAACTACAACAACAGATGCAGTATAGGAGCCCGACGGGTGGAAGCCCATCCGCGATACAACCAAGCACCGTTCCCGAGGCGAACAACAATACCACCACCAGCGAGGATAGCGATGACAGTACGCCTCATTCCGGAATGGTGTGTTGCCGACGTTGTTGTTGTTCGAGTATGATTTAGCCGTCAGTAAAGAAGTAAAGAACGAGTGTGATCCTTTTCACAGATTACAGGGATCAAGCGACCCTCGCCGGAACCGACCGACGTGGGAGCAAAAAATCAGAGGAAACCAAAATCCCAGAAGAAAAAGAAGAAGAGGGATCCGAATGAACCGCAAAAGTGTGTTACCTTGTTTTATTCGCTCAACTCAGACTGCATACACGTGCTTGAACACAAACATAACCTAACTCTATCACTATTTTTCAGGCCTGTCTCGGCGTATGCCTTGTTCTTCAGGGACACACAGGCCGCTATAAAAGGACAAAATCCAAACGCAAGCTTTGGCGAAGTGTCCAAGATCGTAGCATCGATGTGGGACGCGCTTGATACTGAGCACAAAAACGTTAGTTTTATTCCCCCACCCTCTCTGACAGTCATGTGAGGCTGAACAGATCACAAAGGAAATTCCATATTTTTAGGTTTACAAAAAGAAGACCGAAGCTGCGAAGAAGGAGTATCTGCAAGCTCTTGCGGCGTATAGAGCGTCTCTGGTCAGTAAGGGGGCTGCTGAGAACGACCAGCAGCAGCAGCAACCGTCACCGCAACAGCAACAAGTTCAATACGCGACCTACGGGAATTACGTTGGGAATGGAACACCCGGAAGCGTATCGTATCAGGTCTACAGTCCACAACCGCAACCGCAACCGTCGCCACCGCAACAACAGCATTCTCACCCGCATCAGCATCATCAACAATCAGCACAACAGATGCAAATGAAAAAGTCTCCTCATCATTTAACCATGCCAGGAAATCCTCAGCAACAGCAAACGCAGCAGGTAACGTCCTCCCACCCCTTCTGTCTTTTGTGGTTGCGCCGAGTTCTGGCAACCGTTAATCAATGTGTTCATCTTCCCTGCTTTTCCACAGACTCTGATGGGCAATCCGATGCCGCAGACGCATATATCGCAACAGCAGCAACAACAATCACAGCAACAGCAGCACATGCAGCAACAGGTTTCGCAGCAGCAATACATGCAGGTTTGCAGCGGAACTCTGTTATCCCCCCCACACACACCCTGACAAATCCGCACGTACCACTACCAACTCTAACAGCCGTTCGTGCGGCTTCCTACCCTTCGTTTACCGCCATCGTTTGCTCATCCTTACTCCTTTAGATCCCTGCTTTCTCCACCATTCTCATTCTATTCTATTCGCTGCTCTGTCACCCACCACCTAACTACCCAATTTCCATTACTCTTTTTATAGATGTCGCAACAGCAAGTACAGCAGATACAGCAGCAACCGCAACAACAGATGATTCACACGAGTCCTCCAAAAAGCGATTCGTTGTCGAGTCCTCCAACGACTGTGAACTCCTCGGCAAACCAGACGGCGAGCATGACTGGCCAGAGGCCGACGTCGAACGCGTGTATACGTCACGGATGCCCAAATCCCGCAGTGGCGAACAGCGAATGGGAAGACGAGTATTGCAGCAACGAATGCGTGGTTAGCCACTGCAGAGACGTGTTCACGACATGGGTATCCTCGAATCAGAATCCACAGCAAAACTTCTCCATTGTGAAATAAGGGCGACACGTAGTAACCGGTTGGGGAGATACGCGCGCCACGACCGTACCACGGATTTCCTACCGTTTGCCGTAGCCCTGGAACGCGTCCCGGCTCCTCGACATCCTCTGTACATATACGTATATCGATAAGGAGGAGGTCGTTTCGCGTAGAATCAAAAGAGACGAGTAGCGAAGGAAACGCGGTTCCCTGTACCTTTGGTCCACCGGTTTCGTTGAAAAACTGTCTGCGTCGCAACTCGATGCCCGTCAACACCAATCGTATTCACCCTTTCATTTTTCTATTGACTTGAGTTTTCACGCGAGGATGAGCGACATTGCTGCGTGATCGCAAAAAAGTATTAGAATCGCCAAAGTAGCCGATGATGTCGAGCTGTTAGTTCGCAGGAAACGATCTCGTTGACCCGCGTTTTACGTCTGCGACCGCGATCATGTCCACGAACGTCAACGAAATTGTATTCCTCGAACATTTTAGTTAGGGACCGTTTAACATGATAGATAAAAGTAATTTCGTAGATATATCCGCAGGCTTAGGATGACACGTGTGCGTATTTACAAGCGAGAGAGAAGTTGGTATGGATACGCCATGTGCCGTTCGAAACGAACCGGCAACTTATATGCCAGCAAGCATGAATCCAGATTTGATGCGCCTACACGCCTATCTGCCAACGAGGATACGCTTCCGTGAGATTTTTGGATTAATAGAAATTGCCAGCCGGTTAATCGTTGACGACCTATCGACACCCGGGGATGCGGCGGCGGCGAGGACGACGACGACCACGATGCACGATAAAATGATAAAACTCTGTATGGAAAGTTTGCAGATGAACAGCGAATGGCGAGAGAAATAGAGTAGGAATTGGGAGGAGTAGGAGAAGGAGACTGGCAACTGCTGCGACTTGGTGACGCAACTTATTTTTGTATAATTTTACAAACGATCGAAAAGTCACGAAAAAGAAGAATGTATCGTCTAGAGATGCTAGGGAAGAAAATGGCAAGCGACGACTCTTGTCTCGTAGGATGAGAGTAGTCAATCCGTACTGCGGGTTCATTCGCGTGTCTTCGTTTCGTTTTATATCACATATGGTTTTGCCTTTTTTTCAACAAATCGGACTAATTACCGACTATCAGAGCCAAATTTACCGTTAGGCGATGTTGTTGTCGTATCTTTACCAAGTATACATTCGAATTCGAGACGAGACGAGGTTATTTATTTCAAGGGAGCACAGTCTTCGTTCAGGCGCGAACGGAATTTCGCGATAAGGACGCTTTTCTCTCGTCTATTCTCGACGGTGTTTTCGCACGATCTCTAATTTCAGAAATACGTTTTCGATTAGCGCGCTAACTTTTCCATCGCCAGAAACGTAACGTTTCCGTGACACAACACGATATGACACACACGCGATATCGATAAGGTTCTTTTCCTTAAATCTTTTCTTTTCAAAAGCAACCTTGTACATATAAATGAGGAAAAAAAAAGGTTACTCCATAGATTTGTAAATCCCTACGATGTAAACATAATCGATAGTGTAACATATTGATAATGACCTTCGGTACATATATATACGTATACATATAATATAGAAGCGTATAAATAATATAAATGTAAAAATTAATCGGCAACGTCGTGCATACATGTATACACAAGTACGGTAGGGAGCTGAGAAGATAGCAGTCGGCTGTGATTGGCTCTAGTTCATTACGAAAACCTTCGTGGATAGACGTATAAAAACAAACACACGCATTTCCCTTATTGGGCAAACGGTCACATCTACGAAGAAAGCGAACGCGATATTTCGGAATTGAGTGGCATACAGCGATTGCGAGCGATGAATTATCATAGGAACAGATCCACAGCGTCAAATATTAACTTAATGAACCTACGTGACATATTATTGCACATTAACTATTCATATAACTGTTATTTTTTCATGCTAATATCTCATATACATATTAAAAATATGTTCAATTTCATGAGATATATGTAAGTGGAAATAGTTATATATAGTAGAATTTCCGTATCTCTCACAGATATTGGAATCCTACTATATAACACTCTTCAATAGCCTCTTTTCAGCTCCCAAAAGTACATACGTACATATGCATGTATACGTATACGCGAGACACGCCTATATGCACGTATGTATATATGTATATGCACGCGCAACAAACGAAACGATAATTGCAACGCGTGTTATCGTTGCGGTGTAAAACACTATATGAGACGTTTGTGGATTGGCTCAAAATTGCCCGAATCCCGAGCGAGCGAGCGAGCGAGCATCATCCGTGAATGCGAAAGGTCAGAATTTTTCCAGAGTTAGTCGTAATCGCGTAAATCTGTATACTGAAGCAGAAGAAAAAAAAAGGAAGAAAAAGAAAAGAAAAAACGGCAAAAAACAAAGAAAAGATGAAAGGGAAAAAAGAAAATAAATTTAGAAAATATCCAAGCAATGGTATGTCGCAAAGTATATATCAACACCTTACGACGTCGAATATCGCAGTATCGCGCGCATATAAAGACGCGTAATGGTGGCTCGCGATACGAGTTTATGTTTTGCTTTTTAGGTTAACACGTTCGCTGTTATAAAAACATCGTGAAGAGCGTGCCATATACCGATGTCACGGCAGTGATCAATCAATACACTTGACGCCTGGCGCACGGGATAAGCCATCCTGTGTCGACGATGTTTCGACGACGGCAGCGAACGTGTTAACACTCCTCCCCACTCCGCAGCTTCAACCCTAAACCCAGCTCCGTTCCGCCCCACCTGACCTCTGCCCGTTTGTATACAAGGATACGAGGATTAAACGAGAACTGAGTTGAAAGCAAGCGTGTTACGTTCGGTAGTTTCTTTTGCCCGTTTCTCGACGGATCGTTGTGCTCGTTTCACTACGACGCGCGATTACGTACGTGCGTACTGCCGGTGACGTATGCATGCGTAACACAATGACTATACTTTTTATTTAAAATTACGAGGTACATTTATATACATAAAAAATGTATGACTGATACATTTAACCTTACGAAATATGGACATATTCGTACACGTGCAATAACGTAATCGTAACACTTTTTTCCATTTCCATTCTTATACTCTTCGACTTTAGTTTTTTTTTTATCCTGTTTTTACTCACAGGAGTGCTTTCGATGCGAGTCAACGATATACACATACATTTAACTTGTATCAATTCACTACGAACGATACCGGAATGTTTGCAAGTTTCTTTGTTCGAAACGAATAAACCTCTCGCAGAAAAGTCAACAACAACAACAACGGCGAAACTATCGTCTCACGAGATGTTGGAACGAGAGGCAACGAAACGAGTTCGGTCGTGTCTCGTCGCATCGCATCAGTAAGATTTAGACCTGGTCGACGCATCCTTGATGGGATGATGAGAGGGAAGGAGAAAGGATGGTTGAAAAAACGAAATAAACGGGGACAGGAGGGAATCCTCGAGATTGCGACACGAATCGATCGAAGAAATGTTTCGCACGCTCGATATTTTCGTAAATTTTTGGTAAAAACACGGGACAATATACGACGAACACTTGAGATTCTTGCAGTCATATATGCGTACGACGTACACGTATTTCTTGTACACGCGCCACGCGTATCTTCCTCTCTGACGTGCTATCAAATTTTCGATCCGCATACACACACTGTACGCGACATACGATTTCCATTGAACGTACGAATTCGCAAAGATTGTTTGTCGATCGACGGATTCGCGCGCTATTTCTCCGTGTTCTGTCGTAAAATGCACGACACAAAAATAAATGCTCGTATTTCGATTACATATACTCTTGCTTTCAAAACACACATTCACACATGCACACGCGCGCGCGTGCACATCTTCGCACTCTCTCACTCTTATATTCTTGTACTCGATCGGTCGAACAACATTCTTATAGATTCTCCCGTCGCCCACATTTCTTATCTTGAACTAATCGCGAGCTCGTCAAATTCCTCCTCCTTCTTTTTACTTCTTTTTTTTCTTTCTTTTTTTACAAAATATCACAAAAATCACACCAGCCTTTGTTCGCGATAAAACAACACAATAACTAAAAATCGTGTTATGCCGCTTGAAGAAAGAACGTAGAACGAAATGTTGTCTGAGAATGGAGACACGGAAACGCTCGGCGTCACGTTGTTCCTTCGTGGTGCTCCTCCTGTATCGAAGAAGCGCGACTCTCCTTTCTGCCGCGCGTTTTCAGTTAGCATCAATATCATAGTATTCGTGTCTTTATTAATAGAGGCGATCGAGCGCGTGAAATTTGAATTTCGAGGGGAAAAGAATGAGGTTTTCGGGACACCGGACGCGAAAGAATAGAAAACACTTAAAGCTACTGTCTTTTAGATTTCAATAAGAGCGCCGCGAGGTCCACGCAATCCTAGATGGATAGAAGCGGTTGCTTACGTGCTCGAGTGTGCGAGCGAGTGAGTGCGTGCGTGCACGAAGCGGAAGAGGCGCGCAAAGGCTAGTTCTTTGATCATCGGTTGCCGAACGATTGAGTGACATGAGCCTCGCGACGGCCATTTCCAAAGACGATAACGCGCGACGAGCAACTCTGTCTCCTCTGGTGGTTGTTTCATTTGGCGTCGTCCTGTTCCATGGGCTCCTCGGAAACTTCACGGGAATGTTCTGGGGTAGTTCTGAATACGAGGGAAAATAAAAACGTGAAAACGGGAAAGAGAAAAGGGAGGTGGGGTTGACATGATGGGTTAAAGAGTGGAGATGCTCACGTTAAATTGGTAGGCTGCTGCATCGAAAGAGAGGCCATCGCGGAGACCGTCTCGGTTTCGTCGCGTTCCTTTTGACCGGCTTCTATCGCGCTCATCGACACCGTGTGCGCGTTCAGCTTGACGCAAGGCCAGTGCGACATCTAGGAAAAAATAAACGTGTGGTGATGCGTATAGAGAGAGAAGAGTTTGCACAAGAGTGGAATATACCGAGCAATACCTGAACGGCGATGGTCTTTTGCAATGTGTCGATCGCGTTCTGGCAAGGCGTCCTGGTAAGCTCCTCCTCCCTTAGTTGGGACGGCTCGTCGCCGAGTAGAGCCCGAACACACTCTTGCGCGGAATCGCAGATCGCGGCCAAATCATAACCGCCCTCCAGAGCGAGGACCACCTTACCGTTGGCCAGACCGAGTAGCTGCTGCGTCATCTTGCCGAAGGATAGATAGATAGATAGATAGATAGATAGATAGATAGATAGATAGATAGATAGATAGATAGATAGATAGATAGATAGATAGATAGATAGATAGATAGATAGATAGATAGATAGATAGATAGATAGATAGATAGATAGATAGATAGATAGATAGATAGATAGATAGATAGATAGATAGATAGATAGATAGATAGATAGATAGATAGATAGATAGATAGATAGATAGATAGATAGATAGATAGATAGATAGATAGATAGATAGATAGATAGATAGATAGATAGATAGATAGATAGATAGATAGATAGATAGATAGATAGATAGATAGATAGATAGATAGATAGATAGATAGATAGATAGATAGATAGATAGATAGATAGATAGATAGATAGATAGATAGATAGATAGATAGATAGATAGATAGATAGATAGATAGATAGATAGATAGATAGATAGATAGATAGATAGATAGATAGATAGATAGATAGATAGATAGATAGATAGATAGATAGATAGATAGATAGATAGATAGATAGATAGATAGATAGATAGATAGATAGATAGATAGATAGATAGATAGATAGATAGATAGATAGATAGATAGATAGATAGATAGATAGATAGATAGATAGATAGATAGATAGATAGATAGATAGATAGATAGATAGATAGATAGATAGATAGATAGATAGATAGATAGATAGATAGATAGATAGATAGATAGATAGATAGATAGATAGATAGATAGATAGATAGATAGATAGATAGATAGATAGATAGATAGATAGATAGATAGATAGATAGATAGATAGATAGATAGATAGATAGATAGATAGATAGATAGATAGATAGATAGATAGATAGATAGATAGATAGATAGATAGATAGATAGATAGATAGATAGATAGATAGATAGATAGATAGATAGATAGATAGATAGATAGATAGATAGATAGATAGATAGATAGATAGATAGATAGATAGATAGATAGATAGATAGATAGATAGATAGATAGATAGATAGATAGATAGATAGATAGATAGATAGATAGATAGATAGATAGATAGATAGATAGATAGATAGATAGATAGATAGATAGATAGATAGATAGATAGATAGATAGATAGATAGATAGATAGATAGATAGATAGATAGATAGATAGATAGAGACAGTGAGAGAGAGAGGGAGAGAGCAACAGAGCGCACTCACCGAAGAGGAGGGCATGAGCTTCGCTATGACACGTCTGAATCTCCTCAAGGGTGGCCTTGCGCGATCGTATTCGATCGCATCGCTGCAGCAACCCGGTCTCGGAAAGTCGCGCCCAGACGCTCTGCAGCCTACCTCCGTGCTCCGGATGGCCGCGAACTGTCTCGCCGCAGACACAGGCGTGCTTCAACATTAACGGATCGTAGGCCAGGCCGGTGGTGGGTCGGGAGGAGGCCCGTGCGAACAGATCACCGCTGCCACCGCTGGTTTGGCTCGCCTGAGGACCTGCGTCGCGTGGCCGGCAAACGCACACACACCGCTGTCAGTCCGTGATCGATCGAGTGCGAACAAGCTCGGCGAACCGAGCATCGAGCGAAGAAGACACGGCTGCTGCTTACCCAGGTGAACCAACGGACTAGAGAGCGCCCTGGACAACGGTCTGGCGCTCGGCTGGCTGCTCCTGCTCCCCGCCCCGTAGGCCGTCGAGGACTCGTTCGAGATCTGCAAGGTATGCCTCATCATCAGATCCCTCTGTTGCTGAAGAAACTGCTCCCGATCCCGTTGTTGCTTCGAGATCTCACTCTCCTCTGGCACCAGATCCTTCTTCCCCCCAGTCAGATCTATCACTTCAGACTCCTCGCTCTCGGCTGCCTCGTCAAGCTGATTCGCTTGGCCCCGGGAGCCGACCCGTGTCAGCACCGTCTGACGAATCTGTTGTTTTAGGTAGTTGTGCGCCTGCTGCTGCTGCTCGTGCAGCTGCTTCTCTGCCAGGTACTCTTCGTAGTGGATCTGAGGCGTGATCATACCACCCTGTAGCATCGGATGACCCAACGGCAATGGTGCAGACTGAGTTCTGCCTGCGAGGGAGGTGCGTAAGGAACAAACGAAAACGTGAGAGCAATTCGAAAAGATTGATGGTGCGTTGACGAGGAAAATCACCGCGCGTGCCAATTCCAACGCGATCCCACACCCTATTCCACCACTCTCTCTCCCACATTCCCTTGGTCCCCTACCATTCGAGATTGGACGCCGGTGATGGCACGCGCGCTGCAAAATCGGCTGCCAGGAAAAAAGAGAGAACATACTACCTAAAGGCCGGTGACCAGCCTTTTGCAGCCTCGCGTGCGCTACTTGCGTGTCCGTGATGGGTGCTGTCGTCGCGGTACCATGATACACCGCGGCAGACGGATGTTGCCTACTGGTTACAGACGGATGCTCCAGATTCTGCATCTGTTTGTGAACGTAACCACCGCTTGACACCGCCGCCGCGTCTCCTCCTTCAATCACAGTCAACGACGGATAGAAAGGCAAGGTGCCGGGCAACATTTGTCCGGTAAGCGGCATCCCTAGCCGAGCTGTGAACGCCGCGCGTACCTCTGCTTCCGAGACAGTTGCCAGCTTGGTACCAGTCTACGAGCAAAATGGTGAATTAAAGAGAAAGTGACGGCGTTTCGATCGTGTATCGCTGCTCACCGTGCTAGAACTGGACGGAACATGTGGTCGACCTAACGAGATGTTCGGCATGGACGGTGAACTGAAGAGCGAGAGGTCCGACAGGCTACCCTGCTGGCTGCTGCTCGTTAACGGACCACCGTACCCGGTATTCTCCGTCTCCTGAGGGTGGAAAAATAGAGAACGATAGAAAGAAGCGGAAATGGTTGGACGAAGACATTCCGTTCTACTACTCACTTCTTGAATTGCAGCCGCATTAGTTCCTGCAGTGGGACTCGCTTGAGAATTGTTGACGGTTGGCGGTGAGTTAGGCCCGGACTCTGGATTACTGCTAGAATCTGGAAAAAGTTCGATCAGCGAGCGGCGGTGAGCGTCGCGGTTTGCCTGCAACGTGCCGCGTTTTTAATGCGCCCATCCCGAATTCCGTCCGGCTAAAGGGACGCGTCGCGCGCGTCGCATCGCCCTCAACAGATGAGGAGGCGGCAGCGGGCGACGCGATGCGACGCACTCGGATATTTTTTCTCTCTCGGTCGAGATACGCATGTTAATCGGTAACACGAACGGTTTGTTGTTCGCCATGCTGTTACTGGACACTGGCAAAAAGGCAAAAATCAACGATCGATTAATCGAAAAACGACACGGGTGCAACGAATCGTTGGCTAATGCTCACGCAGGAAGAGTTGACGATCGAAATGAATAATTTCGATTAAGCTCGATCGAAGGACGTACTTGCTAGCAGTGACTTCCGCTTGAGGTGCGACAGCAGGCGATCCTTCCGGCGTGCCATCAGGGGTGAATTTCTCGACGCGGCCATGTTCCTCTCCACGCGTTGCTTTAGTCGCACCTTCAGCAGGTTCGGCTCCGAGGCTGGCCAATTTTAGCCAGGGTTAGTTGTTGATCGTCGTCGTATCGGGCCGGAATAGTGTGTAAAATGGGGAAATTGATGCGGGGGAAACGACGGGGACAAAATTTTCGGCAAAAGGTATTAGGAGAGAAGAAGGGGGGATCGTCGGCAGACTCGCTTAATAGGAAAACAGCGAATCGGTTGCAGGCTAGTTGCGCGGTGTTTTCTGTACGTGTACGTGCGTGTCTGTTTCGTAAATGTGTACATGAATGTATTTTGGACAGGCAAGATGTTTGAACCGCAAAAACCATGCTTTAGTTTAGGCATTCTACTATCGTACATAGGCACACAGAAAGAGAGACTACCTTCCACCAAGTACATATATGATCATCACTCGGCACCACGGGGATTTTTATCGTACGACACGTATGCGCTCGTTCGCGCGGAATATGTACCTGTTTTACGAAGAGGAAAGTCGTCGGCGAATTTTTCCTGGAGCATCTGCGGCATTCGGTAGGGATGCGAGGCGTTCGCGGTGCCCGCCGAGTCCATCGATTGCGGCTGCAACCTGGCCAACACAATTCGCCGCTTCTTGTTCAGTCCGTTTCGTGTCGCTCGCTCAGAAGCGCGGTCGAATAGCTCGGCTCAACCACCAACACTCGAGTACATCCCCATACCACCTCTCTCTCTCTCTCTCTCTCTCTCTCTCTCTCTCTCTCTCTCTCTCTCTCTCTCTCTCTCATGTGCAAGAGTGTCGCGGTAACAGCAGGGAGTGGAGATAGAGGGTTGGCGGTGATGATGCAAGAAAGATGAAGACAGCGAGAGAGCGCAAGCAGAAAATTAGAGGAAAAGTGGAGGGCAAACAGGCGAACAGTAGGCGAGAAAAACGCAATGTATGGAAAGCACCGCGAAGGTGATGTACTCGAGGTTGGATCGAACACTGAGAACGGGTAAACCCGCGTGGCACGCGAGCATCGCCAATCTCGGGAAAATCTCACCAGCTCCTGTATCCAGGTGTACCAGGCACGGCCCCGTTCGCCGCGGCCGCGGCCTCCCTTTGCTTCTTGTTCACGAGGAAGCTCTGAAATCGTAAGGTTCCTCTCTCAGCGAGGACTCGCGCGCAATAACATCCCCCTTCCCCCCTTTAACTTTTACTCACTAACTCGTTCGTTTCTACCCAGACTTGCTACACCCCTCGCATAACGGACGAACTTTTTAACTCCAGACAACCTACCACTACCCACCCCCGAACTTCCATCTTTGACAGTTTTACGCTCGTCCCTTCCCTTGCATTTAACGACGACGACGACAACGAGAAAAACAAGATTCACCCACACCGCGAATGGCCTCGAACCGACACGATAAAGTCTCGAGCGTCGTCCAAGTACCTGCAGTCGTTGCTTAACTTCCGTCGATGCGATCGCGCTGTGATCATGCTTGTCTTTTTTCCTCAGCGCTTCCAGTCTCTCCTTTTCTCTCCTCTGCTCTTCCAGCTGCTTCTGCTGTTCCCACATCTATGAAACAGGAGAAGAAAATATCGTGATTGAACACATGAAGAGGGAGCAGAGACTTGCGCGATCGCGAACGTTCGCCGATGATAATTTGGTCGATACATTGCAGAATCTCGAAGCGAGGAACGATCAGAAGTAAGAGAAAAGACGGAGAAAGTGTAAGTTGACGAATGAGAGAGATAAAAGGAGACAGAGCGAGAGAGAGAGAGAGAGAGAGAGAGAGAAAGAGAGAGAGACGAATGGTTGGAGGGTGAAGGAAGGAGGTGGAAGAGAAATTAACAGGTACAGGGGGACACCACCACCGTCTCCTCTTGACTAGAGACGAATGGCGCGCGTGCCGGTGGGTATTCCTTCGTGAACGGAAAACGTGCGGCCGTCGTTTGTATCGGGCGTGCGGTACTATACGATATAGTCGGATGACGAGCGCGACGCGCATCGATCGGATTTACGAACGATAGGAATATTCCACTGGACTTTCCACCAACCGGACTCGACTCAAAGAGGAGAATTACGGTTGATCAGGGTGGTAGTGGCTGCGGGTGGCGCGTGGACGATCCGTGGATGCGACAACTACCGCGATAACGCTTCCGCTTACCTTCAGCTGATGCATCTCCTGTTCGTGTAGCTCTGCCAACTGTCGTTCTTGCGCTTGGTACTGCTGTCGCAAAATCTGCTGCTGGAGCTGATGGTGTTGCTGTAGCTGAAATCAGAACCGACGCGTCGAGGTTAACACTCGTACCCGCTCGCTCGACGCACAGATTCAAAATCGGATCGCGAGAGACGTCCCGTTATGTCTATCGAGCTCCATGCAACCACTTTGTTTGAAAATATCGGGGGCGAGCATTGCGAGAACGCAAATATCGCGATACCGCAAGACATCACGTAACAAACGCTAGTAAGGTTGTGTATAGTGGCAAATACGCGTTCCTCGCGGTCGGATAACGAGCTGGTAGCGGAATAAGCGCCGGCAACCGGAAGCGGGTCCCCTTCTTCCGTCGAGCGTCGCCGGTACCTACTTTCTCGGTCGAACCTGTGCGTCGTGGCGAACAATAAAGTGGTAGAGAAAACGAAGGCGAAGACTAGGAAGAAGAAGAAGACGACGACAACGACGACGACGACGACGACGACGACGACGACGACGACGACGAAGAAGAAGAATAAGGAGGAGAAGATGAAATAGAAGAAGAAGAAGAAGAAGAAGAAGAAAAAGAAGAGGAGGAATAAGCGGAGAAAGACGGACGCAAAGGAAGAAGATTCAAAGTGGTATCTCGAAAAATTACCTCGAGTATCTTCTGCTGAAGCGCATGGCCCTGGAGGGCGGCTGGATCGGCAGAAGCGATGTGATAGGCGCTTGATGTCAAGGTGGTCGCAGCAGCGCCAACTCCTCCGACCAGATCTCTTGGTCTAGACATCGGCGAGCCTGGCGTGTCCCTGGCCATTTCTGTGCATATAGATCGAGTTCGAGTTCGAAGGAGAAAGAGACTGAGAGAGAGAGAGACTGAGAGAGAGAGAGAGACTGAGAGAGAGAGAGACTGAGAGTGCGTGCGTGCGTGCGCGCGCGTGTGTGTGTGCGTGTGACAGAAGGGGGGGATTCGATCGGCTGCGCGATTCCGACGTCGCGACCGCGAAAACAGCGACGAACTTAATCGTTAAACAGTCGGTCGAGGCTCGATACCAGGGAAGTATGCTTATTTTTAGAAGCGTCATGCGCGCCGAGACTACCTTATCTTTCTTTTTCTCGCATTTGTTCGAGCTTTAATCTCCAACGACGAGATCTCACGGTCGAGCATAGAGCGTTTACGCAGTGGAAATCACAGTAACGATCAAACCGTCGGGACGAGGCTATGTTACATTGCGTTACGCTTACCTTTTTGCGGCAGATGCGTGAACGCGGACGCGATCTCGACGCTTCTGTAACCCACGTCTTCTGAAACAAAAGCAAAGAGTACTTGATAAGCGTTTAGCGGCAACTACTGATTCTTTTCACCCTGCAACTCGTTCTATTTTATTATTTCATGCAGTATCTCGAAGAAGAGCCGAGCGAACGAGCGAGTGAAACGAGATCGAAAGGAAAAGGGTCGAAACAAGTGAGCGAACGAACAAGCAGGCGAGTCGAGTTAGCAGGCGAGCAGAGGTCACTGCACGCTGCATTCCTTCGAGTCAAGTCCAAGGTTAATCGTGGAGGAGGGCCGTTCCCCGACACGTTCGCTTTCCTCTCTTCGCCTCTCTTTCCTTCCTGCTGCTCCCTGGTACCGTAGCCGAAACGCCCGCGATCGCGATTGCAGATCTCTCCAACGGGAATTACCTTTCCACCAACTGAGGCGCAACATTCGCCAATTCGCGGTTGGCATTCACTCTTTAAACGTCGCATTGCCTGCTGTCACCTTTTGTCCGAGAATCCAGCAGATTCAACCGCGATTGCCTGTGCCCAATTTCAAACGTTAAAACCAATGTCCCAAGCCTCTTAAATCATCGACATCGAAAAGTTAGGCATCCAAGCTGACGCCTGTTGCCAACCAAGACAATTTGGGGCTCGTATTGATTAAAGAAATTGCCGCAAAAAACTGGCAGCCGGATATATGTGTCTAAACCCCGCCTAGTTATCAATTACGATAAACTTTAATGCCACTCTGCGTTTGCGGCTCTTCTCCCTGTTTTTTCTATAACTCTCTGCTGAATAAAAATGAAAAGCCGCAGTTCGTTGACAGGCGTTCTATGCGGAATCCACGAAACAAAACGGCTGAAACGGAATGAATCGAAAGAGAATCACGGCATTGGCGCCTTGGTGCAAAGTACCGTTATTATTAGCGAACGAATGTCGGTGTGTAGGTCAGACGAGTAGCTGATGTAGAAAGAGAAAAAGGTCACCGCGGTCGGTTCAGCGAAACCAGTGGTTCGTATTCGACTCGCAATTTCGCCTTTCGTTGTGTCTCTTGTGGAACACAACTGCACGATTCAACGTTGAAAAATGGAGTCGGTTTCGAGCAGTACGGGGGGTCACGATTCATTCGAAATAGTTGAAGAAGGAAGGAGAGAATCGGGACGAGAGATGGCGCGGAAAGGAGGCGAACAGCATCGGTTTACCAAAGACAGGTCGGCTCAAACGAGCAGAGAGTCGAAGCGAATTTTTACTCGTGTTCCTGGCCGGTGGCCGACTAGCTAAGATTAGACGAACGCCCGCTATATATAGGATGACATTTATATACGCGCCTACTAAACGTGAGTCTTCCCC